GGAGCAGTATATAAGATCGATTGCTCCAACTGCCAAGCCTTCTACTGACTGGGACTCTGCGCAATGCCTAACCTACGGCACTAACTACTTCCACCGACTGACTCTAGAAAGCTGGTCAACTAACTTAAAACAGACTCCCCTCAAGAGGTGTCAACAACTACCGGCACCATACAAACGACTTATAATCAAGATTACCGCTGCTTAGTTTCTATGCACTAATACATGACTTAAGGCCTCCCTGGAAAAGTCGATTTAGGACGTCGTGGATCTCTTCAGTGCCACGGAGAGAGAGAGGTGTGGAAGGATAAAGAAAGTTACGGTTGTCAACGCCAAAGAAGATAAAACTGTATCATAATCTCATTAAACTTAGCGGATTTACGAGAAAAGCTTTCAACAATTTTCTTGGAGAAGAGTTTTACCTACGTTTCAACTCTGATCCTGACAAATATTCCTCTAGTTGCCTTTGGAATTTTTAATCTCCTTGCTGCAGCATATAGAGCCCATGGCGTTAATGGTCTTTAATGAAAGAAAACACGTCGTACATTTCTTTGAATATTGGGGTTATATTATGCGTCGTTAAGGAAGTGATTTTTCTTTGTCGCTTCTGACGTGTTTGGGGACACTGGATTTCCCTCGCTCTATACCCCGCATCTAAGAGACTGAGTGGAGATCTTCACTATAACTATAGCTAATAAAATCGAGAAATAGTTCACAAAACATATCTTTGAAACACATTTCAAGCTCTGTTTTAATATCAAACGTTATATAAGTTTACTGACACAATTTGACTCTGGAAAAAGCTCAGTTGCCTTCATCCCATTGGTCGGGGTAATTATCCGGGGTATTTATTCTCTCGCGTCGGCGTCGACTCCCAGCTTCACTGCAAGTAATAAACAACATGGGGATGTTTCAGTCCTCTTTGTCTTTACAAATTTTCAGGACTACCACACACGTTATGTTCCGATTTGTGCGCGCAACCAGGTCATTAAAATTGTTTTTATTTATTTACCCATAAAACTATTTGAAGCTTCACTTAATTAATAACTTTACACCTTTTCTCCTACTCGAGGCCTGATAAGTGGCTTGTCGATTGCAGGGTTCGTTAGCTTCTTCAGATCATAACACTTGTTTCGATCACGACAAGTAAATGTTAATGGCCAAACTCTTTTGAAAGAGAACGTTTGATATTTAGGTCCTCGTTTTAAGTTCGATTTTACGTGTTTGTTATTGAGAGCGTCAGGTTACGAGATTTCTATTTAAAAACTCTTACCTTAAAACCAACTATTTATTTTTACCAAAATAACATTCACTTTGCCTGTAACAAGTGGTTACCTCAACTAGATCATAGAACTATTGTTTAACATTTTGTTTAAAAGCGGGCAGAACTTTTCTGTCGTTACAAAGTTGCGATCTACCGCTTCACCAGTGATTTATAAAACATTCTCAAATTACACTTTTTTCGTCATAATGTCTGCATAGCTCCGTGAGTACTCTGGGTCTGAAAGACTGAGTGGTTCTCTTAATAATAGCTAAAGATAATAAAATTGAGAAACAGCTCACAAAAAACAACATCCAAATACATGTCAAGCTCTGTTTTAATATCAAACGGAGCATAAATCAGCCTGATACAGTTTGACTCAAGAGAAAGCTCAGTTTTCTTCACAACAATAGTCGTTGTAATGATCATCCACCCAGGTCTTCGCGTTACTGAGTGGATCATTCTCGGGCCTAGTTTTCCCTTTATTCTCTTTCTCATCGGCAAAGTTGTGGCCATCTTGAGGTTCTAATTGGCGATTTCTCAGCTGAAAACGGCGTCGGCGTCGGCGTACAGCTTCACTATGAAAAGTCGAAAATAAAGAAACAGCTTAGACTCTCTTTTGTCTTCATAAATTTGCAGCAG